TGCCTATGGCAGGTGTACTGGTTCCTTGAGGCTGCTGTCACGAATGACTGCGATCTCGGTGGCTTGAAACAACACACATTTATTCTCCTACGGTCCTAGAGGTCAGAAGTCTGACATCAGTCTTGCCAGACTACAAGCAGGGTGTCAGCAGGGCTGCGGCCCTTCTGGAAGTGCTAGGAGGAAATCTGTTTCTGGCCTCTTCTAGCCTCTAGGGGCTGCCTGCATTCTGTGCCTCAAGGCGCCTCCTCCACCTTCAAAGCCAGCAACGGGATCACCGAACTCTGACCTCTGCTTCTGTCATCACATCTTCTCTGACTCTGATCCTCCTCCCCTCCTCTTGTAAGATCCTTGTGATTACATGTCCCATGCAGATCATCCACAATAATCTCCCCCTCTCTAGATCCTTAATACCATCTGCAAAGTCCCCTTTGCCAGGTAAGGTCACACAGTCGTAGGTGCCAAGAGATTAGGACATGGACATCTTTGGGGGCTGTTATTCTGTCCACCATAAGAGAATTCACATACTTGTTCTGAAGAGGGTCCAACAGTAAATACTGTAGGCTTTGGGGGCCATCTGGCCTCCGTTACCAGGACTGGCTACACAATTTTCAGGGCCCAGTGCAAGATAAAAAGGAGGGGACTCTTATTCGTGTGTTATTAAGAATTTTAAAACCGTGGGGTGCCTGGGTGGCTCAGTCCGTTAAGTGTCTGACTCTTGATTTTGGCTCAGGTCATGATCCCATGGTTCACGGGTTTGAGCCCTGTGTCGGGCTCTGTGCTGACAGCTCGGAGCCTGGAGCCTGCTTTGGATTCTCTGTCTCCCTCGCTCCCTCTGGCCCTCCCCCGCTCATGCTCTCTCGCTCTCAAAAAATAAGCATCACTAAAAAAAAAGAATTTTAACATGGGGACAGAAGTGCAGAGCCCTAGGAGATTATACAGTTTGCACAGCCGTGACGCAGGCCCTGCCTGAGCAAATCTGCTTCTGTTATGGCCAGAAAGCAGCCATGGGCCACATGCAGACAACAGGCGTCGTTGTGTCACTATCAAACCTGATGGCGACAAGCAAACTGTGATTTCCTCGTGTCACAAGATGCTATTCTGCTTTTGCTTCTGGTTTTGTTTAAGTCGGCTCCACGTCCAACGTGGGGCCTGAACCCACGACCCTGAGACGAAGACTCACATGCTCCACCGACTGAGCCAGCAGGGACCTCCTCTTTCGTTATCTTTTCAACCACTTAAAAATGGAAGCATCGTTTTTACGTACAGGCCAACAAAACCAGGTGTAGGCTGAACTGAGCTATAATCTGCCAGCTTCTGGTCCACGGGATAAAATCCCATCTCTGCCAGACTCACCAGGGCCCTCCGAAGCTGGAGACTGGCATCTAGTCCCACCTCACAATCTGCATCCAGCACTCCTGATGGTTCCCGTTCCCCAACAGATCCCCCAAGACAGATCGCGCCTTCGTGCCCTCGGGCCCCTCCATCCGGAAGCCCCACGTCCCACATGCTCCCACTGTGTTCCAGCTTGGACGCTGCCCTCCACGAGGTGGCTCTGTGCCTATCCCGTCACCCTGGCTGGACTTACATGTCTGTGTGTCCTCCTCTCCTTCAGGGAGTGATGTGTTCAAGTGCGGGGGTGCAGGCTAAGTTATCTTTGGGTCTCCTGACCTCACGGGCCCTCCGAACTTAAAGTGACACCAAGAAGAATCTAGAACTTTGGTAGCTAGAGTGTACTCAGATTCCAACCCCTAAAAACCAAAACTACGCTTCTTACCTAAACCAAAAACCAAACAAACAAAACCCCAGAGCGAGAATTTCCCACCTTAAATTCAGACCAAGAAAATAAAGATCTCTGAGACCAAGCTGACCTGGGTTCCAATCCTGACTGTCCTTGCGAGACATGTGCCTTTGGACAAGTCACGTCCCTTGCGCTTCAGACTGAGTCTCGATTCGCCACGGCTCACCAGGCCGTGTGACTCGCCCCTTCCAGCCCATGAGTCTCCTCTCCTGCCCCCGTCTCCACCACTGGCCTTTTCTCAGTTCCTAAGTGTGCCAGGTTCCCAACTGCCTCAGGGCCTTTGCACTCGCTGTTCTTGCTGCCTGAAACATTCTGTCCCTGTTTGCCTGGTGACCTACCCTTCCTGCCTCAGCTGCAACCCCACTGACCTGGAAAGTCTTCCCTGGTCACTCCAAAATGAAGTCAGGCTCTCCTGCTACATGCTTTGCTGGCACTCTGAACCTCTGCAGACTGTAATTATTTTGAAATTTTGTAACGATAGTCATTGTGTGATTTCTCATCACTGTTAACAAGAATAGGATTTAATAAGTACTTCATGCCACACTCTGTTCCAAAGGGTCTAAAAGTGGGTGATTTCACTTAATTCTCCCAGTGCCTTCACAAAGTATTATAATCACCCCCATTTCACAGAAGCTGAAGCTCAGAGACGTTAAATAACTTACCCAGTCGATGTTGGAGTTGCCCTCTTAAGCCTGCACCCACAGGTTGACTGGGACTTCCGTGAGGGCAGATGCCCGTTCTAGCACGGTCACTGTTGTATCCCCAGGGCTGAGCATCTGCACCGGCTACACTGTGGGTGATTAAAAAGTATCGATGACCTAAGGGGCACCTGAGCGGCTCAGCCGGTTGAGCATCCGACTCTTGATTTTGGCTCAGGTCATGGTCTGGAGCCTGTTTGGGATTCTCTCTCTCCCTCTCTCTGTGCCCCTCCCCTGCTCACACTTTCTCTCTCTCTCTCTCAAAATAAATAAAATAAACTTAAAAAAAAAAACTTTCGATGACCGAAAAGAAACAATACCCCAGTAGCAACAAGCATTCCAAGTGCCCAGATCTTGGTTTCTTTTTATCTTATTTTTATTTTTTATTTCTGTAACGTTTATTTATTTTTGAGAGAGAGAGAGAGAGACAGAGTGAAAGCAGGGGACGAGCAGAGAGAGGGAGACCCAGAATCCGAAGCAGGCTCCAGGCCCTGAGCTGTCAGCACAGAGCCCAATGCGGGACTCGAATCCACAGACTGCGAGATCATGACCTGAGCTGAAGTCGGACGCCCAATTGACTGAGCCACCCAGGTGCCCCCAGATCTTGGTTTCTAACACTACTCTCTAATAAAAGGAACCAGGCTGGGAGAAATGACTGATTCTGGGACTGGGGCAGGAAATATGTGAGATAAACCCGAGGCAGCCTGTAGTACCAGAGTAAGGAAGTGCTCCCAAGAAAACCAAAAAACCCCAAACCAAATACACAGACGGGAATGTGTCGAGGAACCACAGGAGCCAACTGAAAGCACCCTCAATGGCCAAAGCTGGAATAATTCAAATAAAATAAAGTAGTATTGGGTTATAGCCCAAAGAATAAAATAAATATCTAGAGATCACACTGATATAATCACATAATGCATAAGCTGGGGGCGCCTGGGTGGCTCAGTCGGTTAAGCGTCTGACTTCAGCTCAGGTCGTGATCTCGCGGTTTGAGTTCGAGCCCCGCGTCAGGCTCTGTGCTGACAGCTCGGAGCCCGGAGCCTGTTTCGGATTCTGTGTCTCCCTGTCTCTCTGCCCCTCCCCCGCTCACACTCTGTTTCTCTCCCAAAAATAATAAATACACATTAAAAACGTAATGAATAAGCTGACAAATCAGGGAGAGAAGAGAAATCTCCCATGCAGAATTCCACAGAATTTACATAGATACCTCACTTAAGGAAGGGGATGTACCTCTCCGCTCTTTAGGTATGTGCTGCACACAGTGACTTTCTTCCAAAGTATACAGTACAGAGAGGGAGGGGGAAGTAACTTTATAGTGGACAAACCTGACAAACGCTACCTTGGCCCACGATCAAGGCCAACATCAACAGGCACAGAACACGATGGGAGTATATACCTTTGATGGGGTGTGATGAGAGTTACACCTTACATCTGTGGTCTTCCTCCCCACAAACCCCATCCCAGTCTTACCACAAGGAAAAGACCAGATAAATTCCGACAGGGGAGCATTCTACAATACCTGATCGGTCCTTCTCAAAATCATCAAAAACAAGGGAAGTCTGAGAATCTGCCATAGCCAAGAGGAGCCTAAAGAAACAGGGCGCCTGGGTGGCTCAGTCGGTTGAGCGACCGACTTTGGCTCGCGTCATGATCTCACAGTTTGTGAGTTCGAGCCCCGCGTCGGGCTCTGTGCCGACAGCTGGGAGCCTGGAGCCTGCTTCGAATTCTGTGTCTCCCTCTCTCTCTGCCCCTCCCCACTCATGCTCTGTCTCAGAAATAAACTTTAAAAAAAAATTAAAAAAAAAAAAAGCAGGCCATCTCAGTGAATAGGATCGTAAAAGTTCTCATTGCAACAGCAACAAGATATTTGTAATTACGGGCGTTAACTAATTGTAGTAATTATCTTATGTTATACACATACACCAAATTGTTATGCTGCACATCTAAAACTAATAGTGTTACATGTCAATTATAACTCCAAAAAAAAAGGAAGAAAAAAAAAAAAACAGAGTACCAGGACAACTAAAAGTAATGTGTCATCCTGCACGGGATTCTGGACGTTAAGTAAAAAACAAGGAAATCTAGTAAACTATGAACTTTGGTTGACATGTATCCCTACGGCTTCGTCAATCCTAACAAATGCATTGTGCTAATGAAAGATGTTACTAACAGGAGTAACTGGGTGTGGGGAAAACGGTAACTCTGTACTTTCAAATATTTCCGTAAATCTCAAACTGTTCCAAAAGACAAAGTCTATTCATGAGAATGATAACAAGGCGTAGATGAATAAATGAAGGATTTCATTCTTCACCATGGCGACAATGATTAAAACTCCCATCTCGGGGCGCCTGGGTGACTCAGTCAGTTAAGCATCCGACTTCAGCTCAGGTCGTGAGCTCACGGTTCGTGGATTCGAGCCCCGCGTCGGGCTCTGTGCTGACAGCTCAGAGCCTGGAGCCTGCTTCGGATTCTGGGTCTTCCTCTCTCTCTGCCCCTCCCCTGCTCGTGCTCTGTCTCTGTCTCTCTCTCTCCCGAAACTAAATAAACGTTAAAAAAAAAAAAATCAAAAAACAAACCAAAAAACTCCCATCTCACAGAGCTTTTGTGAGGATTACACAGAAGAATGCACATGAAGATTCAGCACCAGATTCAGAGAATACGCCACCACATTCTACTAAATCCATGCCATCCACTAGAGGAGCCACAAGCTCTATGTCACTAAATTAATTAATTTATTTATTATGGTACTAAATTTAAATTAAGTAAAAATGAAGAAGTTAAAAATCCAGTGCTGTGGTGGCACCAGCCACACGTCAAGTGCCCAAAAGTCACCTGGAACTGATGGCTACTAAATGAGCGGTGATAAAGAACATGCCCATCGCTGCAGGAAGTTCTACCAAACAAGGAACTAAACAACGAATGGCATAATTACTTGCTCAATTCCTGCGATCCCTCCGCACATGCCATCTTCTCAACCTTCCCCACCTCCCTCTTTCAAAGGGCAACCCCCACATTCCCCATACTCCCCTTCCCCAATGTACTTTTTCTTCTTACCCCTTTCCACCACTTGATGTGGAATCCGCTTCATTTCTTTTCTGTCTCCCCAACTAGCATTGCAGGGTCCAATGCAGGAGCCACGTGCTTGCTGAGCTCTTGAAACGCAGCCGGTCGAACCTGAGATGGGCCCTACGTGTAAGACATACAAGATTTCAGAGACTTGTGGGGGAAAAGAAAAAAAGGATGTAAAAGACCTCTTAAGTTTTTATATTGATTACACGTAGAAGGAACATCTTGCACAGACTGAAATAAAACACATCGTTAAAAGTAACTGTTTTTAACTTTTCTTTCCCCTGACACAGCTACTAGAAAATTTAAATCACGCCCCTGGCTAACATTTGGGGCTAGCATTTTTGCCTGTTCGCTGCCCATACAAGTGACTGGCGTATAGTAGACACTCAATAAAACTTTAATGACTAACTGCTGAGCTGGGCCTCTGGGAACCCGCTAGCTCCAGTAGTCAACGCTGAATTAAGGCTGACCACGTCCCATGCTCCACCTCCTCACCATACCAGATAAGGAAACTGAGGCCCGGAGAAGTGACGTCAGTCCCTTCCCAACGGCACGTAGTGCGGAAACGTCGGGGTCGGGATTCGAACCCGGGTCCTGTCCCCACAGCCATGGCGCGCTGACCATTACTACCTGGCGGGGCGGCGGCGGGAAAGACAGGCGCGGGTCACACAGCATGCGCTCCACAAGGGG